ATTCAAGGGTGGAACACATCGGCAAGCATCTAAGGTCGTTGTTGTTGGATATTTGCTAGATGTAATCATTCAAAATCATTTATATTTTGTTATTCACTTTTCTTTCTGTTATTTGCTTACCGTTGTAAGGGTCCAAGGCGACCCTCTATATATTTGCATCACTTGCATAATGAAGGTAGCGATCGTTTTATTCCCTTACTATTTGTTTGAAGCCTTCTATGTTTTTACCTCTCTTTGAGCGGTGCTCTACACTATTGCTCAAGGCAGTTACGTATTTCTTCCTCTCCTTGAGAAGGGTACATAACACCATACATTCCTTCTCCGACCTTTTCAATCTTCTCGAATTTATCCATGAAACATATTTGTCTTCTCCAAACCCCTAATCCCTTCTTTGTACGTGTTTTTGTTTGATTCTCTCTCTCCTGTGCCCCTGTCGTAGTGTGGTTGTTTGCCGTTAAATTTCTCTACTCGTAGTCGTTGACCTGAAATTCTTTCTTTTTTCAAATTCTAGTTTCCTTTGAGCTTCCAACTAAATTTGGTTTTCTAGGTTTTGAATGATAAACACATATTGTTTGTTTAAGGAGAACCCTTCTTCTTCATTCGCTTAGTAGGGAAGAACCCTTTTTCATTGTTCATCCTTGTTCTGTTCGTTGAACAAGGAAGAGCTCTTTGTTCAAACATTTAAAAGAAAAGGGTAAAATGGTCTTAAAATGTTACAAAGGGCAGTTTTGCCATTGTCGAACTTCTAATGGTAGGTATTAAGTTGGCATGCTTTGGAAGTTTATGTATTGGATTGACACATTTTGTAAGGATGCAAAGGGATTGGATCGGATTCGAATTTAGGGTATATTCGAGACTGATCCGACATTGTTCATGTTGAATCCGATCCGATCGGATCTTATAGGACTTGATTTGAATTCAAATCATATCGATAAGTCGGATCTTCCGATCCAACCTATTTTCTTTAAAAATTAATAAATTATTAAAAGAAAAATAAAATATACTAATTAAAATAAAGTAAAAACAAAAAATACAAATACTTTTTAATTATTTTCATCATATATATACATGTTTTTTTATAAAAAAATAAATAATATAACAAATTTATAAAAATATAATATAAAAACATATTTATAAATAAATAAATAGCACATATATGTATTATATATATTTATATTTATAAATATATAATATATATCGGATCGGATAGGGGTGATCCAAATCTGATCCAATTTCTAATTGGATCCTATGATCCGATCCGAACAGTGGTGATCTAGATTCAACCAAATAGGATTGGATCTTTTATCGGATTAGATCATATGATCCGATCCATTTGCACCCATAACGTTTTGTAGTTCGGGGATTAAAGTGAGACTAGGCCCAAAGTGCATGGTACTAATATGCAATTTTCCCTTTATATTTTTACCCTTTACTTAAACACATGTACCTACAAATTAAACTCTATAGATCTAAATTCTATTTGATAAAATTTTGAGATATTTGAATATAATTTGATATCTCATAAATGGTGAGATAGAAATTTGAATTCGATTCATTTATATATTTGGTCATCCAATTAAAATTTGATTGAGTACAACGAACTCCATAAATTTGTACAAAACTAGCATAAATCCATAAAGAAGAGTATGCTTTTTTTTCATTTTGATAGATAAAGCTAGGTTTATATAAACAAGTTAAAGTTAATATGTCTGTACATTAATCTTGATGAATCAAACCAATCAGTTTGATTTCCATCCATTCAATCATGACGATGTTGTTCAAAATGAGGTGGACGAGCAACGGATGATGTCTTACCAAACTCTAACACTCAAGTCAGTAAAAAGTGAAGAGGTTAGCTAAGTCGAGCTACTGAGGATGAATTGGTCCGGGTCAAGCAAGTCTAGGGAGCAAGGAAACGAGGGCGAGTGGGCTAAAGTGTCAAGAGTGGGGGCAAAAAAGAAAGAGATATACCTCGAGAGCACCACCCTAAAACACTTGAGTGTCGTGAGACGTACGATCACTATCAACACTTGATTTTTGCTCGATCCTTCTTTAGCCCATCTCATGCATTTTAGATGCCTGATTATACCACACAAATCTCTTCTAAACGTATCAAAACCCTAAGAAACCAAATCTTAGCCCAAATACCCTTAAATCCACCATTAAATCTATATGATTCCCTTCCGATGGTCACAATTGTGCCACATCACCAAACCTGATCCCCAATCAGACTCCATCCCAAGAAGCAAAATCTTTGAACAACCAATCACACCAAATTTAAGCCTTAAATTCCTTGGTTTAACCATTCGTCCATTAGAGATTCCATTTCAATGTGTTTGACATTAAAACACTTCTTGAGCCTAAAACTAGCGATCCATACCTTATTGACATAATCAAACCCTCCGAACATCCTCATAATCTCAATCCATGTCATTATACCAAATTTCAAATCAACCCCCTCCCCCCGTTTCACCTCACATTAGGCCAAGATTCGGTTTTAGCAAATTTCATTAATTAAGGGTGTACCATTCATAGATCTCCATCATCGAAGCTTCATTCAACTAATAAGGCCTCACCATCACACTCAAAGACCCAAACATCCCCCACACGTAAAATTTTGTGACTTAAACTCCTTCATTTAACCATTAAATAAGTAAGACCCCATTTCAAGTCCTCTAATTAAACGATAAATCATAAGCTAAGACCATGATCTAAACCAAATCTATCAATCTACACCACTAGTCAATGATCCATCAAGTCCACCAAATCAAAGACATCCTAAAATTCCTACCCACCATATTTTATCCCAAAATTCCTCAATTTGACCTATTATTAAGCCATGATTCTGTTTCAACAAATCTTATTGGTTAAGAGTGTACTAGTGGTAGATCTATACCATAAAGGCCTTATTTGACCGGTTGGACCCCACCACCATGTTCAAAGACCCAAAAAAACCCAACACGTCAAATTTTACGTCCTAATTCACCTATTTGGTCATTAAAGTAGGAAGGTACCATTATAATGCACCAAATTGAATCACCACATCAACTGCCCCAACCTAGGGCCTCAAGAGGATAAGGACTGGTGTCAGTTCCTTACCTGACCCATTAGAACAATTGGACCAATGAAAATTGAGCCTAATAGGCTTAAAAAGCTTAAAATACCAAAAGTGCATCCACTTAAAACTAAGAAAAGATAAAATCACATTTATATATTAATTAAAATTATGTTTTTTGCCACCATCAGGCCCAAATATGGGACTGCAACGTCTAGCATGCCCCCAAGCTCTCATTGGACATACAAAGTTCATAGAAAACCATCCAAACTCCAGCAAAAATGTTAAACAAAGAAGGAAGGGTCAACTAAAGGCCCTTTCCTCTAAAAAACTTTGCATATTTTAGTGAAAGAACTTATTGAATCATAGATACTATAGCTAAACGAGTTTTAGACCCATTTCCCTCCCTTTTTCTCTATAAATAGAGGCCCAACTCGAGCTTGAGGGGGAGAGGAGAAAGAACATTTTCCCAGCCTCTGTAATGTTTCTATTTTCCCAGCCTCAAATTTCATTTGAACTTTTTCTAGCTATTGGAAAACTCTTCTCAAGGTTGCACATGATAGGTAAGTCTCCTCATTCTATCGTTTTTTATTTAAGCTTGAATTTGTAATCTTTGTTTTTCAGTTTAGTTCTAGGTTGCTTAAAGTCCTGAAACCATGGGAAATTTGCATTCACAGTTTCATTCAGATTGAGAAAGAAAGGTAGAGAGGCGAAAGTCTTAGGGAAATCAGTACCTAAGACACAATAACATCACCTCAAATCAATTCTATGTGAAATTCGAAATGTTTTCACCAAATTTTAGGAGCTCTGAGCAATCATGTTCATTGGTGTTTTGTTAGAATTTGAGCTTGAATTATTCCCATATGGGGCTGCTACAACAACTTGGAGAGAGGGGTGCCTAACACCTTCCCTCTCCCAATCATTGGGATCTAAAATATTTTTATTTAGTGCCTTTCTTAGTGGAGGATGGGGTCACTATCGAAGCAATAAAATCAATTTTCTAAAAAATTGTTGGCGACTCCATTTCTTTGAACCGACCATAATCTTCATAGAGCTCACAATCACGTTCCTAACTTTTTTCTAGGTGCATGGTGCTTCACTAAGGAATCTAATGACTAAAGTCCTTGGGCCACTCCACACTCCTCAACATGGGTCCTTATTGGTAGCATGTAAGCCACCATGTGCCCCATCTTCGTCTGGGGTTCTTGCTGGATGGGGCAATTGTTGGCCATGACACATGATGTTGTGCATCGCCAACCATGTTTGATCGAGCAATTTAGGCCACATTAACATTCATGTGGCAATCCGACCGAGCCCGATTGGAGTTCACATCTCCGCCTCACAAAGAGTCGTCCCACACCCCACACCACATATCCACTGTGTATTAGGAACATCTCTTGATGATAGTATCAATACTGATGATGTCATCATCGGGAAATGTTCCTAACACACGGCAGGGATGTGGTGTGGGGCGGAGATGTGAACTACGGCCCTATCAGATGTCATCCAATTATCAAGAAATGAATCAGATTAGATCCGGTTCGATCCGTTTGCACCCCTGCCCGGTTTATCAAAACTCAAAAACTAGGATCGGATCCGATCCGATCCATCTGTCCTGTGGGCAGCCTATCCGATTTAATGAAGGGTCAAGGGTGTGTGACACCCTGCAAGCAAGACGATCTGGACCGTTGGTCAGAGGTCTCGGTGATATCAAGTTCTAGCTGAGTTCACATCTGCGCTTCACAAAGGGGCGCCCCACACCGTCCCACAGAAAATCCCCTCCGTGTATTGGGAGCATCTCCCAATCATGTGCTGTGGGACGGTGTGGGGCGCCCCACGCAGATCTGAACTCGTTTTAGCTGAAGTGACTTGGACTTCCACCCTGAACCTGTCCTTCAGTAATTGACGGCTAAGATTAAAGGACTGATGAAACGCTCGTCCCTCCCTTTCACAAGTCAAAGACTCAAGACTCCTCGACTCTCAGGAGTAAACAACGAAAATACTTAAAACCTCTGTAATTTTATGTGGATTAATCAGTCATCGCGACTTTGAGGACGAAGGTTTTCTTCTTTCCGCGTCTTCTTTCTGTTGTATCATTCTATCACATTCTTCAAATCAAAAGGTAAATTTCGATTTTTTTTTTATTTTCTTTTACAAGAACAGCAAAACGATTTTATAACTTCACGGGCTGAATTTTGTTAGACACATGACGAGCATTTCTTCATGGGAACCCTAGGTCTGATACTATTCTGCTCTCCCTCTCTCTCTCTCTCTCTGGATCTTAAAGTTTTACAACGAAAAACCTCTTTGTATTTTGCGTTCATCCCCCTCTTCCTGGAAGGGTGGGGAAATTTTAATTTGGAATTCATCCTGATTATTGAAATCTGAATGTTTCAGAACTTTCATTTAAATTTTCAAGGAGAAGAAACCCTAACATCAAAACCCGTATTACCATGATCTCTCTCCATTCCTCCCTCTCCCTCTCTCTCTCTCTCTGCCTGTAGATAGTGCGGGGGAAGAAAAGTGAAGGTTCATATATTAACACCTTTATTTTTATTGATAAGCACTGGTTGATAATATAATGTTGAAAATTTCTCCTCGATTTAAACACGACCTCTGTTATATTGCTCTGGCCGGGGTAGGCGTTTTTTTTAATGTCCACTGTGTCTTGGGAGCCCTTTTTATTTTTGTGCAACGCTTTATGTTGGTATGACGAGATACCGCCTAAATATGGAATTGTTGTTACTTTGACAAATTTTACAGATGGAAGTTTGCCCGTCAAGATCCATGTTCATTGTTTTAGTGATACTTTTATCAATCCTGAAAGTAGCAGTTGGAATTAGATTTGTGATCGACAGGGAAGAGTGCTTTTCTCATAATGTTGAATATGAAGGAGATACGGTTCACTTTTCCTTTGTTGTGATTAAAGCTGACGGACCATGGCACTATAGTGATGATGGAGTAGATCTTGTGGTAAGTTTTACTTATTTTGAAGGAAGTGGGATCAATTTTTCCAAGCTTCTATTTTGTTGTCATTTGCCACCTTGCATCTTTCTGAAAACATATTTGCTAATTTAGTTTAAATACTGTTTCAGTTCACTTGACCATCACTTAATTGTATTTGCGTTTGCTAATATTTCAGGGTTTATATTTAAAAGAAGTAGAAGAAATAAAAAAAAAGTTGTATTGTTTCATATCTGTGTTGGAAAAGAGAAATCAGGTAATTACAACAAGCATGACACTATATGCAATCAAGGGGCTATGGGATGGCCCTTGGTGCATGGGCAGGGATTTTAATGTCATTAGATTCTCTGATGAAACCAGTAATCCCCAACAGGTAATTACAACAAGCATGAGGAAATTTAATGGTTTTATTGAAGAATGTGAACTGAAGGAAATACCTCTGCTGCCAGCCAGTTACACTTGGTCCAACCTTCAGGAAACCCCTTTGTGTTCG